AAGATTCCTGTGCAACAAGATTCAACTGCTGGGAATCTGGGGTTGAGTCTGAAAGCGCCATCCAGGAAGGGGAAAAGGTTATTAAAACAGCAGAGACACGGTGGGCACTGCGTTGTGAGAGCTGGTGTCCAGCTCATCATGAGAGAGCCAGCACCGTATGGCCAGCCTCACCGAGGTCGCCGGGGTTCTGTCTCCAGCCTGTGGTGGCATCTCAGGTAGTCCAAGTAACTAACCATGAGTTCTTCATTTTTTTCTTTCCCAGATAAGGTTGAGTCATCCCCAGGTGACCCCAGGATGAGCAGATGGTACCTTCTGGGGTACCATCCTATCAAGTGGAGCTATGGCAGAGGTTATCACAGCTCTGAGTCACTGCTGCTTTCGGTGGTGACTATTTCCTTTGGTTGCTGGCCAGTATCCTCCTCCCTGCTTTTCTTCCTCCCCGCTGGACCAGCCATTGCTTAGTCAGGCACATGGGAGGAGAGGCCAGTCAGAAAAGCCAAAGCCTACTGGCCTAGTCGCTTACTTTCTCTATCAGTGATGCCCCCCTCTCAACACAATAATGCATGAGGGCAAGGTGGTGGAAAGACCCCAGAGACCACTCACTATAGGCTGGCCTAACTTCAGAAGCTACTTTTTAAATAGCCATACAAGAAGATCAGACCATTTTCTGGCTTGGCTCCTATGTGAAATTCAGAGCACACTTCACCTTCCATTTGGTCTCTAGCTATAACCCACAACCACACTGAGAGTCCTTGGCTGTACTCCAGATTGAGGACCAGAAAAACCATGCTCAGTTTGCACGCAGACTTGGTATTGGTATGTCTGACTATATTCTTACGCCTATTGTCTCACATGCCTATTTAAGACTTCAATTTTGCCTCATAGTTGGTGTCATTAATCCTGTTTGGAATTCAGGGCATAAGTTTGCTCCTAAACACTGGGATTCAGAGGCCTGGAACAGGGCGGTGTGACGAGCTAAACCAGCCAGCTAAGAGTCTCTATTTCGTTTCTTGCTGATACATTTCGTTCTCATTGATTGGTATCTGTCAAGTTATTTTACTGGTTTCCACGGTGGGCACTGTGGTTTGGAGAGATTTTATTACGAGTTTAACTATGTTCCAAGCACTCTTTTGAGTACTGGCTTTAGAGCGGTAAATACATAATACAAAAATGCCTGCCCTCGTGGACCTTCAAGTCTGGGATGGAGATGGTAACAAAAGAAGTAAAACAGTAGGTTGAACTATAGGATGTGTCTGTTTTTATAGGTCAAAAATGGTTAAATATTGAAAGTTTCATATGACTCAGATATGTTCTATGTTAGTAATAAATGCTAAGGAGACATAAAGCAAGGAAAGGGGGGAGGTGGGTGGTTGGAATTTTAAGTAGAGTGGCATGGAAGACCACACCCACAAGGTGGCACTTGACCGTGGCCTAAACGGTGTCTGGAAGGAAAGCACTGCAGGTAAGAGGAACAGCCGGTGCAAAGGCCTGAGCATGGCTGGTACGTATGTCCAAGGAAAAGCCCTCTGGCTAGTGAGGCTGGAGCAGAGAGCACAAGGGCGAGAAAGGCAAAGGTGAGTTTGAATAGGTAATACAGAGCCGGATCATAGGGCCTTGAAGGCCAAGGAGACAGAAAGCTGGATTTTACCCTGAGATGGGGAACTTTAATAGGTTTTTTCTCACTTTTACTGAGAAGCAAAAAGAATCTGTTTGGGTAGGGTTTTATGACTAAGTAATGCTTATTAGGGCCCAGGAACCACCACGGCCCAGGCTGCTCATAAGCTGCACTGGGCCCAAGAGCAGTGGAGTCAGGACGTGGTAAGGTAAGGACTGACTGTGGCAGTCACTGGAGAGACAACCTGAATTGTTTAACTTACTGGAATTCCTTTGGTACAGAGCCTTTGTCTAAATACTAGAGAGATGAAAAATGGGATTTTTACATTTTTATTTATTTTTGCTCACCTGAAGGCCTGTTTTCTGTCTCTCGTTGAGACGTAGGTCTTGCATTTTCATGGCGTCAGTTGTGTTAATGACAATCCGATGAGTGCTGGGAGGAGAGGTCACCAGCCAGGGCAAGGTAGACAGTGAGGTTTCCTCCCTCTGAGAATCTGGATAAGGCACTCCTGGTGTTTGTGTAGGCTGGCTGCCTGTGGTTGCGGCCCAGACCCCCTCCACTGGGGCTTGCAGACATGCCCGAGCCCACTATTTATTACCCTCCCACCCGGACTGCTCTGTGGGCTTCTCCGTATTCAAGCTGAGGCTCTGACAAACTCTGTGGTAAGGAAAGTCTCCCTGCTGTCCTTATTCACAAACTGATCGGCCAGTGGCTACCACAGGATTTGAAGATGGGCTGAAGCCCCTTGGGAAGCTTAGCTGAGCTACTGGAAAGGGGAACAGCCCGGAGTGGGGAGGGTAGTGCTGGAGTGAGCGTTCACGACAGTGCTGTGAAAAGCCATCTGAGGTGATGAAAAGAAGGTTTATATTTATTTTAAAACTGCCTACTTTCCAGGAGGACCTGAGACAGCCAAATTAAGGTATTCTGAATGTCCCACGACCAGCTAGATCCCAGCTCGGGGGGCAGAGCTGCTGGGGGACAGCACGCTCCGTGCTTTCTGTCTTTGGTCCCAATCATATTAAAACACATTACTTTTACTTATTGGGCTTGGTTAAGTCACATAATACAAATGATATGTACAATTAATATCTCAGTGGAGACGATTTAAATATGAACACTCTGGTCTTTTTTTTAAATATTTTTTGAGAGAGTGAGTGAGAGCACAAGCAGGGGGAGCGACAGGCAGAGGGAGAAGCAGGCTCCCCGCAGAGCAGGTCTGGGGCTCGATCCCAGGACCCCGGGATCATGACCTGAGCCGAAGGCAGACGCTTAACCGACTGAGCCCCCCAGGCGCCCCACACTCTGGACTTTCAAAGGGACAAGCAGCTAATGCTCCCTTGCCCGGGACAGGCCACAGAGTGCCTCTGAATCCTTACCCAAGTCCCAGCCATGGTACCTCACTGTTTCCCGGGTGGAAACTGAGGACCAGAGGGAGGAGACTACCAAAGTGCCGTCTACCTCAGGTGAGGTTTCCTAGGGAAGGAGATGGGGATTAATCAGGCTTTATCGTAGGCTTTAGAAATATAGAAGACTTAGCTCAGTAGACTTAGATCTCCCCAGCTGAGTAAGGTATGTTCAGATGGAGACTAGTTTCTTCTTCCAAGGGTGTTAAATTATAGCTTGGGTTCTCCCCTCTCCCAAATTATTACACCTTTCAAAATATACCCTCAAAACGGACCTGATTTGCTTATTCATAAACGGTAAACTTTAAACTGCTTGTGTTTATTTATGGGCGAGGTCTGCCAAAGGCTCTAACCTGTTACCACTTGCTAGTCTGTGTTCCAGTTTTGTTAAGGCTGTTACTGTTAGGGACGTATAAAGTATCTTTTTACACACTTTAATATCCACAACCACTTTATGAGTTAAGCATTAGTCAGTTTTACAGGTGAAGAATCATACCCAGACAAGTTAAGAGACTTTTCTAAGGTCACCCAGCCCATAAATGGCAATAGCTTGGATTCAGACCTCTATGGTACCTACGTCCAAGCTCTTAACTACTAACTGACCCACCTCTTAACTTAGCTAGTCTTTGCTAAAACCTTGCATCTTCGAGCACCAACACATGCTCCACTGGCAGTCTTACTCTTGACAGGCTCCCTGTCATTTCGAACAGCGCCTCTCTGGGATGCCTCAGTCCGCTGTCCTTTCACTTAATGCTTCTGACCCTGGAGTGCATTTCCCTACCTACTGCCCAGCACTCTGACCTTTGCAGAAATAAAGGGTTGCAGGGTTAGAAAGACTTCTTTTTTGAAGTACTCTTCTTCAGACAGTGAACATATGAACCACTTCCCTGTATTTCATTTCACCCCCCGAAGGCCTCCAGAGTAGAACAATGGGATTAATTTGGGAAGTAGGGAAAATCAGATCTGAACTGCCAGGCCTGGCAAGAACATGCCGTCATAAGGTGAAGACAGCTATGACAGTTGTAATCTGTGGACTGAAACACTGTCCTTGATCATCCTTCAAGCCTAATAGCCACAGATTCAGTCATGTTCTTTTTGTGAGAGAGTTCCTGTAAATGACTTAGAAGCTTTGGTGTGGTAAACCCAGACAACTTCAGAAAAGGTAGGAAAAGAGAATTTAGAACCACAATTAAATTATGAGGATAGAATTGCTACTGCAAGCTATCTAAAAAAAAATAGCTTTTGGGGGGTATAAAGTTAGCATTGATTTATATTAGGTGTCATTTTGCAGAGAATACCATTTTTCTCCTGCCACTTAAAATATAAGCCATCCTCTTGAAACTGTTACAGCACAAAAGCAGCTGTAGGCAAAGTTCATAAACATCTGGGCAATGGGGTACGTTCCAGTAAAACTTTATTTACAGGGACGCCTGGGTGGCTCAGTAGGTTAAGCGTCTGCCTTCGGCTCAGGTCATGATCCCAGGGTGCTGGGATGGAGCCCCGCATTGGGCTCCCTACTCGGCGGGGAACCTGCTTCTCCCTCTCCCTCTCCCCTCTGCCTCCCCCGCCAAGCCTGTGCTCTCTCACTTGCGCTCTCTCAAATAAAATCTTAAAAAACAAAACAACCAAAACTTTACAGAACCAAGTCCACATTTCACTTGTGGGGGCCTTAGTTTGCCAACCTCTGCCTTAGACCAAAAGGGAAATGCTCACTGTAGTACGAGTTTTGTGGGAAGAACTAGCAACAAGTTTAATTTGCTTTTGTAGAAGAGAAATTATTAATGGATTCACATTCCAGCATATACAAAAGAGGCTAAATGTATTTCTAAAGAAAGTGATGGTATTTCTCCATCAGGTCAGATTCGTTGCATAAAACAGTCCCTGCTGCTCCTACAGAACAGATGACTGCCTCTCTGTACAGTTACTCACTTGTACACTGTGAAGCCACGGGGGTTTCACCGCTCTTCTCTTCTGCCTTGCAGGCTTGTTCCTGATCCTGGGTCTGATACTCTACCCTGCCGGCTGGGGCTGTCAGAAGGCCGTAGGCTACTGCGGTCACTACGCGTCGGCCTACAGGCCTGGAGACTGCTCCTTGGGCTGGGCCTTCTATACCGCCATCGGGGGCACGGTCCTCACCTTCATCTGTGCTGTCTTCTCCGCACAAGCAGAAATTGCAACCTCCAGTGACAAAGTACAGGAAGAAATCGAAGAGGGGAAAAACCTTATCTGCCTCCTTTAGTTTGGAAGAGACGTAAATGCCCTTTTTCTTCCTGTGTCACCTTGTGAAAGAGTACCCCTCTGGTTCCCTCCTCTGAGTCAAGTGAAGAACTAGCCTTTACCTACCACAGCCTCCATTGCACGGCCCCAGGCCTTAACAGGACCAGTGCAAGGAAACATCCAGCTGCGTGCGCTCCAGGGCCACAGTTCCAGCTGTCAGAGATGGAACAGGAACCCGGACCCGGAGCTGACGAGTCTGACTCCATCTCCTCCGAAGCTCATGAAGGATGATAATCTAAATCATTAAGGCAGCAGTTCCTCTGGTAACAGGAGATGTGAGCTGGATTTGCAGGCTGTGTGGAGATGGATTTCTGCCACAAGGCTGCATGCCTGTAAGCATCACTGCCTCAGAATGGGGTTTTGGGGTTGGTGTTTTTGTCTCCTCCTAGTTCTTCCAAGTCGTCTCAGAGACTAAAATGAAGACTGCATACTTACTGGGGATAGCTTATGTGTTCAAGGGCATAATAAGGCACTGCCTCATATGACCAAAGGGGTCAGCAGGTCGGTGTGGAATCCCATTGTGGAACTAATTCTAGGCTGAATTCCAGGGTAAGGTTGGATCACTTAACTGTCCAAGATTTTAGAAATCTGAGTAAGGAAAGAATAAGGGCCTATATGATCACGGGAAGAAAAGTAGAAAACCGTGCTAGGGAAGACAAATTCATTCCACTGCCCAGCAGTCAGGCTACCGCCAGTATTGGCCCAGTCTCCTCTTCTAAAGGAGATCCCGTATTTTTCTCCTAGGGTTAGGATGGAGCTTTGACTGCCAAAGGAAACCTCACCCTATTTCCTCATTCCAGGAACAGAGGTCTCCAAGCCAACTGTGGCTCATTCAGATATTCACTGAGAGAACTTGCCAGAATCTCAGCACTTGCGGGGAGACCTTTTCCCACTGTTTGGTAGTCAGCTATATTTCCAACCCCAGCAGCAATGGAATGACCTTTGCAGGAAAAAGAGGAGCTAGTCATGGGAGTTCAGTTTCTCCAGTTACTAGTGTTGTTTCTGAAAGCAGACTGAAAGAACATTAAAATTACTTCAGTGGGTGAGTTGCATCAAGCCTTCACACCCAGAGAAGCAAAGAGTGGAAATTTAATGCAAAAATGAGAGCTAGACCAAGCTCATAGCACCTGCCTATGCCTGTTTACAGAAAGAATGGAACACCACTATTAAAAAGGATTCAGGAGCTTATAATCTAGTTTCTATAAATTGCCAAGAAAATTGATGCAGAAAAATGGTATTCACCACCACCTCAAATTTACTTTGGAATGATCTCAGTGGCAAGAACCTAGCTGGGTATTACCGAAGCTTCAGAACTTCAGAATGATACAGAAACACTCGTGCACAGTTTAGCAAGTTTGGAGTGGACCTACGAGATTTCTGGAAGAATTAAAAGTACAGGTCTATTTGGGCTTATGAATCTGTTCCCCTAAGAGCTTGCTTTGTTTTGAAAGCTTAGCAAATAATGACTTTGCACCTTCTTTGGGTAAGGTATTGTATGCTAAGTGCCACCAGGCATAGAAACCTGATTCAGATTTTACAACACCGCCTGAAGTGAATCATCTCCAGGCTGAGTCTAAAACCATGTCTTGGTGCAAAACAAACAGTTGCTTTATATGTAGATGGACTGGAGCAACTAAACCTTTATTCTCTTCTGGCCTTCGGCCTATACCACAAATCATCTTATCACCCAGATTAAGAGCTAAGGGCAAGAGGGGTGGTGGTACAGAACCAGGCCTTAAGCAGTTCACCTTTCTTAGACCAAAGTTCAGAGTAAGCAAGATTTTTTTTTTTTTTCCTAAAGATTTTATTCATTTATTCATGAGAGACAGAGAGAGAGGCAGAGGGAGAAGCAGGCTCCCAAGGAGCAGGGAGCCCGATGCGGAAATCGATCCCAGGACGCTGGGATCATGACCTGAGCCGAAGGCAGACGCTTAACCATCTGAGCCACCCAGGCGCCCCCGAGTAAGCAAGATTTAAGTCCTACGACCTTTTTTTATTTTTTATTTTTTGAAAAGAGAAGGGGTAAATAGTTCTGCTCATAGCAGCCTACTGTATGGGCTCAGGAAACAATTAACCCTATCTCTAACACCACACAGAAATAGGGTATGGAAGCCGATGGACAGGGCTCCAGTCCCTGCTGTGTATTTTTATGCTCTAACCAACTCCCAGTGCCCACCGTAACTACTTTTTAAACCTTGGCAGTAATTTTCATTCAAAAAAACAGCGGGGGAGGAGGGATTCCTTTCATCAGCAGATTCGCTCTACTGTTTTTTTTCTGTACAAAAATCAGTGTTAGAAAATGGGTTCTCTTAACTCCCTTTTTACAGACAAGTTAAAGTCCTAAGCCCTGAGGACCTTCTGAGAATGGCCATCATCTTTACTACCTGACTGCTCTTTGGCTAAGGTGGTGGCATCTCTCTAGAACACCCTGATAAAACAGTAGTCACAAGTGAAAATGTTACTTCTCTTGGCCAGAAGGAATTCACTTGACAGTTTTTATTCCATTAGTCTGACTGCTACAGACAACAAAGCACATGCACACACACACATCACCCCAAACCACTAAAACTACTTAAACACTGACTTAATAAGCAGAGCAGAGATGGAATTTCTGTAGCAGAGACAGAGTAAGAACTAATGTTGGGCCTTTTAAACCTTCAGTCTATTAGCCAGGCTTTGGGGAAAAATGAAACGTTAAAATCATGCTAGTCTACACCAACCTGTACAGCTATTTAAAAACCACTGAATATGAGGAATGTATTAGAAATATGTTAAACAAGTGGACTGATTGTTGACCCACATTTTCCTAATATCAATCATCTAATCACCTCAGTCCAAAAATCTAATACACCTGGACCATTACTACGACCAGAAAAGTCTTATTTATTTTTGCCTGCATTTGCGCTTAAAGTTTTGTGATGGGCTGGGCTTCTCAATGACTCCAAGAAGGCAGAAATACTTGCCTTGGATTCTGTGGATTTTTTAAACCTGTGTGCTAATTCAACGATGTTACACTTAATTGTGTGAGGGTTTTTGTATAGTTTTCAAACATCTGTGGTGTAATGATCTTTGTTAAACATGTAAAGTGCCATAGTCTTTTTTTATGTGTAGCATATTTAAAAAATATATATATGTATATTATACATACACAAGTCTGTGTGAAAGATGTGCAATAACAAAGGTGTATGTAAGTTTTGTTTTTTTTGGAAACTGGACAGGAGTCAGAACAGGGATTGTTTCTGTTTTGGCAAAGGAGAGTTAAACATGTTCGCCTTCATGGCCTAGTCATTAACCCATAACAATTTAAATGCTACACAAACCGATGTGAAGAAAAGACTGGTATGAAATCATTTATTCCTGGGTCTACATTAATATAATCACTAGATTTACGTGAAAATTAAGCCAGCACCAGGCCCAGTTAATGCTAGTCTTTCATGTGAAATGTGAAGCTGCCACATTGCCTTTTCTGTTAGTGTGAAAACTAGTAGCTGGGACATAATCACTAAGGAGCTTTTTCTTAACATGCTTTGATAGACCACGTTAATGCTAGACCACTATTTAAGGGCTGATCTCACACCTTCTTAGCCATAAGAGTCTGGCTTAGAACAGACTTCTCTGTGCAATAACATGTGGCCACTAGGAATCCCTGGCCTGCATTTCTATTTGGGCAGCGATAACTCCCAAGGGCCAAAAGAGTTAAAGGCATGACTGGGATTTCTTCTGAGACTGTGGTGAAACTCCTTCCAAGGCTGGGGGAGTCATTAGGTGCTTTGGAGGAACTCAGCATCACTTGATATTCAGTAGCCACTTGAGCCAAATAGAAAACTGTATTTACCGCTAATGGACTCAATTTGAGCCTTCAAATTTATGGTTATCCTATTATATTGTAAACTAATACATTGTTTGTCTAGCATTGATTAGGTTCCTGTGCATATGTATTTCACAATGCCCTCCCCTCCCCAGATCGGAATTAAAACAGATTTTGGAAACTCACTCTGATTTTTTCAAGTCTAAGTATATTGGTTTCAACAGAATTACATAATTTTCTCAAGAAAACACCTACCATCATAATTAAAAAAAAAAGAAAAGAAAAAGAAAATACCTACCAGTCAACTTTTCTGTTAAACACTAACTTATATGTAATATTAATGATGGGGGGGAAATGTTCAGGTATTTTAACTATTCCATTCATTAGTACATATGTATCTCTACCTTAGGTTAGCTTTAACTTCGAGATTAAGGACCTATTTCTTTCTTGGAGAAGCATCAACATAAATGGGGAGAGGGGAACTCTCAAATATTATACAACTATCTTAATTTTACAGTAAATTTAAGAAATATGAAAATGTTCCCAAGCATTAAAAACACTTTTTGAAGAAATATGTATAATAGCGACAAAGAAAAAAAGTCAGTTGAAGGGCACAGTCTCTTCCAACAAAAATACCCAAATTAAAGCCAGTTCTGGAGGAGGTGCACACCCACCTTTCCTGAAGGTAGTCCTGCCCACAGAGAGCCTCATCAAGAAGGAGAATTCTACTTTAGAAATTCAAAGATTTCTAACACTAACAACACTTCTCATAAACTTTCAACTCTGCATACCCCAGGAAGCACTTATCTGAGAGAACAGACAAAAATGGCTCTTTCAAGGCCCTGTGACAGCTGAAACTACTTGCATGCTTTGGCTTCTAAAGATACCTGACACCTGCTAAGTTTCTAATAGAACCAGAAATTAAAAGCTGACAAAATTATCCAAATCACGAAAGAAAAAAATTTTAAGAATTATGATCTAGGGGGCGCCTGGGTGGCTCAGTTGGTTAAGCGACTGCCTTCGGCTCAGGTCATGATCCTGGAGTCCCTGGATCGAGTCCCGCATCGGGCTCCCTGCTCGGCAGGGAGTCTGCTTCTCCCTCTGACCCTCCCCCCTCTCATGTGCTCTCTCTCATTCTCTCTCTCTCTCAAATAAATAAAATCTTTAAAAAAAAAAGAAAAAAAGAATTATGATCTAGGTAGTCCAAGCAAAATTGGAAATCTTCACTTGCTTTTTCAGCTTTCACATCTTTCATCGAAAAGAGAAAGGACCCTAGCTTTACGTGTCAGCAGAGGCTGGGAAACCCTCACATGTGCTTCGCATTTCATCCTTAGTTTTGACTTGGCAATTGTGCTACTGGATCAACTTCCCACGACCGATCTTCCTGGAACACTGCATTCAGCTTACTGCTAGCTCTCCTTAAAAGTCTTTCCTTAACCTTAATCCACTGAAGAACAGTCTTACTATCGAAAAATAGGAGTTATTTTAAGGGGGTTATTTCAGTAGTTTCCATTAATTCACTACCCTTTCAACCCTCAAACACTAAAGAACAATGGCATCAAAGCCAACGTGTAGCCTACTCTTCAGAGCAGCAAGAACCAGTAATTGCCTTTCTCTCAGAGTCCCTATCGGCTGCTTAATCATTTGGCTGCTGTCCGTTCTACTATCTTCTTCCTTGCAGCTTCTTCCTCACCGTGGAGAGTTCTGCAAGATAAGTCTTGAAGCTGTGAACTGCTCTTTTTGCTGAGGTACACAGGATGTAGATAAAAGCATAAGTAAGAGGAAGCAGTAAAACCACATGGAAAGGAAAAGTCAATCAAGTAACATGTAGATATTAGCACCTCTTTGGCTTTTTATAGTCAAATATCCTGAAAAATCTAACTCCTTTAGATTGTTAAACCTACAGGCAAGCAGTCAACCAAGTGCCTAAGGGGGAAACCACTATGACTTATTCTCAAGAGAAGAAAGCCTGAATTAAGGCAGGTGTTCGTGAAGATCATGAGATGAATTAGAGATGCTTTGGAAAAAGAATGGACAGTTTGGTGACTAGTTAGAAGTGGGGGGCTTGAGAGTGGGAGGAGAGGAAAGGAGAAGAAAGAATCCAGAATGACTCCCAGGTATTTAGCTTGGGCAGACTGGGCGGAAAGTGATGATAATCAGCAACATCAGAAAGCAGAGAGGAGCAGAAACAGTATAAAGGTGGAAAGGTTCGGCTTAGGCTGCCAGAAGTCCTGTGTGCAGCCAGGAATATACTCTGGAGAGAAGACCAGTTTAGACAAAGAGATCTGGAAGTCATCAATATGCATGACAGACAATAAGAGTTCTTAATTACTGTGTACTTTCTATGTGCACATACTGTGTTAAGCACTTAATTCATTTATTCATCAAAACCCTATGAACAGAAATTATCCTTATGTTACAGATAAGCTGTTACTCAAGGAACTGAACTAAACTGAATTTACCCTAGGTTAAAAAGCTAGTAAGTGGCAAAGCCAAGGCTCAAAGACAGGTCTGACACCCAAGTCTATATTCTCAAACAGTGGTAGTTTCCTTGTACCTAAAATGTACATGATGAAAATAAGGCCAATACAAATCCTGGGGGAACACCAACATCTCTGTGTAGTTAAATCTTGGAATAACTTCTAAGTACAACTCCAAAAAGACCACACCATAAGATGACAACTGATAAAAACTGCTCTTTCCTCCCTTTCAGAGAAAGACCTGCTAGTTCTTCTTACCTTAGAAGAAGGTCTCAACTCACTCAATCCTATAAAGTGCCCCTAAAAATTCATCAGGATATATGACTGTGGGTAAGCAGATGATTATTTGTTAGTTATTATTATAAATAATCTCTCATCCAGGGTAAGCAGCTATTATTAGCTAAAAAGCCTATTTTCTTTGTAGTTAACCTAATAAGGATTTGACTTCAACTAAAGTTTCTCCAAACATACACACAAATGCCAAAGACTATTTGGTAATGGTACAGCAGGTACTAACCCACATGTTGGAGAACTAGGCCTTGGTGCAGAGACTTCAAATACATGCTGTAATTTTTTTTTCTTGGGTACTGATTTTTTTCCTAGGGTCCACTGTCCCTAGAGGATGGATATGAATTATGGATATGAATGTGGAAAGATGGAACAGAGTTGGAGAGAAGTGATACCATGGGTACCATGGCAGAGGCAGCCCCATATATAGCAGGAGTCAGAGAACATGGGTCTAGCTGCCCCTTCACCAGCGCTCACTGAATGACTGGGATAATTTTCTACTCATCTATAAAAATGGGGCCATAATAGAAATTATTTCATAGGTCTGGTGTGAGGATTAAGTGATGTATTAAAGCAGTTAGTACACTCTCTGGTATAAAGTCCTCAATAAGTAAAGTTACTAGAAGAAAATTAAGAGAATGTTCTGTCTGCCCAGACTGTCATTTAATCTTAAAAATTAAGAGTTGTGCTAAAAACTTGTGAAGAATAACATAACTTGTTAAAACCAATCTAATTTTACCGAGAGAGGCTCAATGGATTGGCTACCTGAGGCCACCATTTCTTTTTCCATCCTAATTATCTTTAACTTAGTGCTTTCGGGAAGAGGAAGATTTCTCTGTGGATGCAATATACATAGTCACTCCTATTTAGCAAAACCAAAAACATAAGGAGGTTAGTGTGACTTAGCCCATCATCTCTGGGACAGCAGAATCTAAGAAAACAAACCTATATGTCAAAACCTACTGGTGGCAAAGACTTTAGAAAAGGAACATGCAATGTTGGCAGAGTGTGGAGAGAGAAGCCACTGCAGACAATACTGATGGAGCATAAACTGATAAAATTTTCTGGAACAATTTGGCAGTGCACATCAAAGGTCTTTAAAAATACGTTTGTTTGGGCACCTGGCTGGCTCAGTCGGTAGAGCATGGCACTCGATCTTGGAGTTTTAAGTTGAAGCCCCACACTGCGGGTAGAGTTTACTTAAAAAAAAAAAAAAAAAGCTTAAGTTTTGACCTAGCAATTTGTCCTAAAGAAAGAACAAAAGGCTAAGCCCCCAAACTTAGGAACAAATACATTCCCTGATAAATTATTAACACAAAAACCTGAAAATCAGAACTTAATGGAGTAACAAGAAATAAGAACTGAAAACAATTAACAAAATGGCAGTAAGTATATAACTATCAATAATTACTTTGAATGTAAATGGACTGAATTTTTTAATCAAAAGACATAAGAGTGGCTGAATGTTGGGTAAAAAAAAAAAACAAGACCCAACTTTATGCTGTCTATAAGAGATTCACTTCAGATGTAAGGGACACACACAGATTGAAAGTAAAGGTATAAAAATATCTCCCATGTAAAAATAACCAAAAGAAAACTGGGGTAATAATACTTACATGAGACAGAATAGACTTTAAAATAAAGACACTAAAAAAAGACAAAGAAGGGCATTACATAATGATAAATGGGTCAATCCAACAGGAAGACATATTTACAAATATTTATGCACCCAACACATGAACATCTAAATATATAAAGCAAATATTAACAGATCTAAAGGGAAAGAGAGACAAAATAACACAATGCAATATTAGTAGAACATTATAGTAAGACATTCAACGAATGGATCATCCAGACAGAAAAACCATTAAGTAAACACTGGCTTTGAATGATACATTAGACCAGATGGGACTTATTAGATATATACAGAGCATTCCATCCAAAAGCAGCAGAAAACTCATTCAAGTGCACATGAAACATTCTCCAGGATAGATCATATATATGTAAGGTTACAAAAACAATTTTTTTTTTAAAGATTTTATTTATTTATTAGAGAGCGAGCGAGAGAGAAACAGCATGAGAGAGGAGAGAGTCAGAGGGAGAAGCAGGCTCTCCGCTGAGCTGGGAGCCTGATGTGGGACTCGATCCCAGGACCCTGTGATCATGACCTGAGCCGAAGGCAGTCGCTTAACCAACTGAGCCACCCAGGCGCCCAAAAACAATTCTTAATAAATTTAAGAGAACAATTCATATCAAGCATCTTTTCCAACCACAGTGATAGGAAACTAGATACCAATTACAAGAATAAAACTGGAAATTCACAAAAATGTGGAGATTAAACATGCAACTGTGAACAACCAATGGGTCAATAAAGAAATCAAAGGAGAAATCAAAAATACATTGAGATAAACAAAA